AATCATTAGCCATTAGAGAAATGCAGATCAAAACTACAATGAGATACCATCTCACCCCAACAAGGCTAGCATTAATCCAAAAAACACAAAATAACAAATGCTGGAGAGGTTGTGGAGAGACTGGAACAGCTATACACTATCGGTGGGAATGTAAAATGGTACAACCCCTTTGGAAATTGATTTGGCGCTTCCTTAAAAAGCCAGAAATAGAAGTATCATACGATCCAGCTATCCTGCTCCTTGGAATATATCCTAGAGAAGCAAAAGCCATCACACGAATAGATATATGCACACCCATGTTCATCACAGCACTGTTCACAATAGCAAAAAGATGGAAGCAACCTAAGTGCCCATCGATGGACGAATGGATAAACAAACTATGGTATATCCACACAATGGAATATTACGCACCGATAAAGAACAATGATGAAGCTGTGAAACATCGTATAATATGGTGGAAGCTGGAACTTATTACGCTGAGTGAATTTAGTCAGTCACAGAAGGACAAATACTGTATAAAACCACTATTATAAGAACTCAAGAAAAGGTTTAAACACAGAAGAAAACACTCTTTGATGGTTACAGGGGTGGGGAGGGAGAGTGAGGGTTATTCATTAACTAGATAGTAGATAAGAATCATCTTAGGTGAAGGGAAGGACGGCACACACTACAGGGGAAGCCAGCACAACTGGACTAAACCAAAGCTAAGAAGCTTCCTCAATACAATCAAATACTTGGAGAGACAGAGTAGCAGGGATGCGGGGTCTGGCGACCATGCTTTCAGGGGACATCTACATCAACTGGCATAACAAAGCTTATTAAGAAAATGTTCTGCATCCTACTTTGGTAAGTGGCGTCTGGGGTTAAAAGCTTGCAAGCAACCATCTAAGATGCATCAACTGGTCCCAACCATCTGAAGTAAAGGAGAATGAGACCACCAAAGACACAAAGAAAGTATTAGCCCAAGAGACAGAATGGGCCACATAAACCACAGACTTCATCAGCCTGAGACCAGAAGAACTAGATGGTGCCCGGCTATCACCAATGAACGTCCTGACAGGGAACACAACAGAGGGTCCCTGATAGAGCAGCAGAATGATGGGATGCAGAACTCAAATTCCAGTAAGAAGACCAGACTTAATGGTCTGAGACTGGAGGCGCCCCGGAAAGCATGGCCCCTGGTCTTTCTATCACCCCAGAACTAAAACAATTTCCAAGGCCAACTCTTCAGACAGGGATTGGACTGGACTGTCAGACATAAAGTGATACTTGTGAAGAATGTGCCTCTTAGTCAAGTAGATACAAGAGACCAAAGGGGCGGCTTCTGCCCAGAGGTGAGATGGAAAGGCAGAGAGAGTTAGGAGCTGGTTGAATGTTCATGGGGAATCAGGGGCAGAGGGGAGGAGTGTGCTGTC